CTCCAGGCATTGATTTTGAGACATATGTCCTACAACAAAAGCTATTCTCAATAGACATCCATGCAGATCCAAAGTGTCACATCGCTCATCCAAACAAGAGTTCTGGAAGAAAAATTGCATTCGGTTATGGCAGTCTGGTCCGTGAGGGAAAACCTCTAGTGCTGCATCTTCCCACTCCAAACACCCTCCTCCATTGAAAACGAGTTGTGCAGAGAATAAAGGAGGGTGTACAGCTTAAAAAGCCCATTTAAAGAGACAGTTCACACAAAAACTGAACATTTCATCATTATTTACTCACATTTCGCTTGTTCCGAAGCTATTCGAGGTTCATCTGCTGAACACAAAAGAAGATGTTTTGAAGAATGCTGAAAATCTGTAATCACCGACTTCCACAGTATTTGTTTATCAATTTATGGAAGTCAATGGTTACAGGTTTTTTAACATTCTTCAAAATATCTTCTTCAAAATTCAGCAAAAATAAAGAGAGCACTTGAGGGTGAGTAAATAGTGTGTACATTTTTGCATGGATTATCCCTTTAAGGAGAGCCTGGTTATTCAGATAATTCAACGAAAACCTCATAAAGGCCTGATTCCTGTTCGTTAAACACACACACATACACACAAAAAGGTGCAAGACATTTTTCTTGACACTTAAAAAAAATTGAAGCATCAAACATTGAAAAATCAATGCCTGAATGCAACAAATTCGAGTCTTAAAAAAAGGTTTTAAAAATATCCAATATATTATTAGTATGGAAAAAAAAGTGCTAGTTGAGATGATTCTCAATTAATGACTGCGGGAAAACAAGACTGATCGATACTTCCAGAGCCGAAAGCTTCAATTTAATCCTTTACGAAAGCAATGTCCGGGTCTGAGAAGCGTCTGGAGGTGGTCTGGAGCTCCTGAGTGCTGGAGGCGGCTGCTGCTGTGGACGGGAAGAGCAGCTCGGTTCCTGCGGCAATGTACAGGGACTGGATGCTGTCTTTGCGGCGGCCGGGATGCTCGCGCCGCGTGATGAGGGTGAGGGACTGTGCCTTACGGGGATTGAGGGACTGGACAGCTGGGTGGCACAGGACTCCTGGGGGCAGCTTGACCGTCCCGGGAATGATAGGATAGCGGCGCTGGAGCTGAAGCCTGGGAGAGGACAGTGAGGGAACAGAAGAAGGGCTGTCATCAGCCAGTGTGGTGCCTCCTGGGGCCAGGAGGATTGGCTTAGGAAGGGAAGTCGGCGAGGATAACCTCGGCATTGTTTGCCCTACGATAAGAAGACAGGAGCAGTCAACACCCAAAGAGGAAGAAACGCCAAAGCAGAACCCAAGACATGCTCAAACAAGTCAGGATAGGGAGACAGCATGCAGTGTCTCATTCCACCACCACCACATGCTGGACATGCAGGTACATAACAGCAGCATGCTGGACAATAGATTGATGCATTGCGATTCGTGGATTGTTTTTTATATTTTCGGAATGCACCTCAATTCTATTCTAAGCATAGTTTTTTACCAGCAGATGGTGCTCTAGGCTAGTTTTTAACCAGCAGATGGCGCTCTAGGCTAGTTTTTAACTGCAGATGGCGCTCTAGGCTAGTTTTTACAAGCAGACGGCGCTCTAGGCTAGTTTTTACCAACAGACGGCGCTCTAGGCTAGTTTTTACCAACAGATGGCGCTCTAGGCTAGTTTTAACCAGCAGATGGCGCTCTAGGCTAGTTTTTAACAGTAGACGGCACTCTAGGCTAGTTTTTACAAGCAGACGGCGCTCTAGTCTAATTTATACCAACAGATGGTGCTCTAGGCTAGTTTTTACCAGCAGATGGCACTCTAGGCTAGTTTTTACCAGCAGATGGCGCTCTAGGCTAGTTTTTAACAGTAGACGGCACTCTAGGCTAGTTTTTAAACAGCAGATAGTGCTCTATGCTAATTTTTAACAGCAGATGATGCTCTAGGCAAGCTTTTAAACAGCAGATGGCACTCTATGATAGTTTTTAACAGCAGATGGTGCTCTATGATAGTTTTTAACAGCAGATGGTGCTCTATGCTAATTTTTAACAGCAGATGGCACTCTAGGCTAGTTTTTAAACAGCAGATGGCGCTCTAAGCTACGTTTTTAAACAGTAGGTGAAGCTCTAGGCTAGTTTTTAACCAGCAGATGGTGCTCTAAGCTAGCTTTTAACAGTAGACGGCACACTAGGCTAGTTTTTAAACAGAAGATGGCACTCTAGGCTAGTTTTTAAACAGCAGATGACACTCTATAATAGTTTTTAATCAGCAGATGGCGCTCTAGGCTACGTTTTAAAACAGTAGATGAAGCTCTAGGCTGGTTTTTAACCAGCAGATGGTGCTCTAAACTAGCTTCAAACAGTAGACTGTGCTCTAGGTTCGTTTTTATCGGAAGACAGCGCTCTAGGCTAGTTTTTAAACAGAAGATGGTACTCTAGGCTAGTTTTTAAACAGCAGATGGCACTCTATGATCGTTTTTAACAACAGATGGTGCTCTATCCTAATTTTTATCAGCAGATGGCACTCTAGGCTACGTTTTTAAACAGCAGATGGTGTTCTACGCTAGTTTTTAATAGCAGATGGCACTCTAGGCTAGTTTTTAACAGCAGATGGTGCTCTAGGTTAGTTTTTGACTATATACTAAAATGTTCATAAATAAGATCGCTTGTGGTCAAATGTACTTCCTGCAGCTCAACTTTTATGGCACAAAATTAATGTAAACAAGGCTCACTATGAACATGAAAATTGTTCAATTTCAGTTACTATGAAAATTATTAATGTAGAATCATTTCTCAATGTACCAATATATCGTCCCAGCCCTAAAACCACTTGAGCTAAATGAGATCACAACCTGCTACAGAGTGGACGGCACCGCCACCCTCTTTAAATGCTCCAGAAGCATCCCATCCAGACCTGTTCCACACACAAGGACAGGACCCAAAACATGGGTGACTACTGCAGAGAAAAGAAAAGGAGATTTGGTCCGAAATGGACGGAGTCTGTACCTTAATACTGACCTTCCGTGTCCGAACAGACAGCTCGCT